AAGAAAGAAAATAAAGACCTTTTGCCAATGTAAATTCATGACTCTGTTCTTCAGTACTGCTGAATTACTGCTCCTGGCAGCAGAACTAGAAAAGGCACCCGAAACAAAAACTGGGAGACGGTTCTGTTTGAGAACCATCGAAACACAGCAGTTTTAGTCTTCTCTTTTCCACACTGAAGAAGGATGCGATAGAGTTCTTTGAAATCTAAAATTGCAGGAAATAGACTGAAAACCAGCAAAGGGAGTTTTTTTGTCATGTAAGGTACCAACGAAGTTTGGGAACTCACTGTTACAACTCTAAATAAAAGAAGATTTGTGTATGTTGAAGTTAATCAGATGAAGTCATTTAGTAAAATTACCTTTCTGTTTCTGGGGATCCTCAAATTCCTATAGGTCTGTAGAAAAGTCAGGGCTGCAATGCTGCATACTCACACTGTTTTCATACTTAAAGCATGGGCCATTGGTCTCATATGGAGACAAGTTACTAAGCTCAGATTTGATGGTGTATGCATGCTGGCTGTTCTTGTTTTTATGGACTGATTTTTTTCTTATGCTGTCATAGGACAGCATTGTGTCTTCTGACTACAGGCTGACACATGAGCTAAACCTCTTCGATCTTTGTTTCCTGGTGTACGACTATAGGAAATGGAATGTAGTTGTGCACTGTGACTTGTGAACGGGTCAGTTTCTCTGTATGAATGATTTCTCATCGAACACTACAATATTGACTATTTTGTCAGGCTAGATTTAATGCTGCCAGTTTTGTCATGTTTCTGCTATCTCTAGAATTGTAAAGGTGCTGTGTGTTTGCTGTTCCTATTGCCTTACTCGAACCTCTCTATTTTAGTACTTCTCCTGTATGATTTTTTTTCTGGCACTATTTCTCATTGATAAATGTTAGGTTTGTTCTAAATGTGAAGTCCTCTGGGTTCAGTCTGATAGATGTGACTGGATGGCAGGAAGTGATCACATTCCTGAGCCTGCTGACTGTACTTCTGCTGATTCCAGTGTTCTGTTAGTTTTCATCACTGCCAAAACACCCTGCTGATTCCACTTCAGCTTGCTGTCTGTGAGGGTCTTCATATTTTTTTCTGCAAAGCTGCTTTTTAGCCAGCTGTTAATTAGGTTGGCTAACAATTATTTGCCCTAGTTGGAGCCGTACTCTCTTTCTAATCACTTCATTTTATTGGAAGCATTGGAAATTGATTCCAAAAGTATTTACTCTGTATTTTCTTGGGAACTGAGATTAGGTTCAGCATCCTTTAGTTTCTAATATCTTCCTCCTTGACATTCTTGAAGATAAGGGTGACATTTGGCTTTTTTCCCAGTTATTAAGGACTTTCTCTGATTGCCCTGACCTTTAAGGAGATATGCACCAGCCTCACAATTATGTGCACCAGCAAGTTAAGCATCCTCGAATGCATACAGTGCACCTGTGTGTTTTGTTTGTTTTTGTCTTGTTTTTACCAACCTGTTGTAACAGTCCTCACTTGGATCTGCCCTGTTTTCCTCATTTCCCTACACTGTACCACTAGAGAGGGACCTGGAATTCTAGGAGCAGAAAATATTTCTGTTGTCTCATTAGTAAAATGAGCAGGCTTGTTTAAGGAAGGATACTGTAAAGATCAGATGTCTGGTTTCTGCTTTTTGTGCTCCTGCAGATAGAAATGCTAGGAATTATTGTTTTCCTCACTATGCTTCATTCTTTCACTCCTATTCCACTTTGGCTTTCCTGAGCCTTAATATGTGAGGGGCTGCCCCAAATATATTACTGCTTCTAGTTGATGGAGAGACAGAGTGCTGAAGCCGGAGCCAACTGCCTCATAGAAAGATTCACAGATGCAGACTGTCAGACCAAGCACAAATGGCAACAAGAAGACAAATCCAGACTTTATTTTTTAAAGGACGTGCTCCTTCTGGCAACAGTTTTTTGGGAAAATTATATTAATGAGAGTAGATTAATCACTGAAGGGAAGGAGGTCTGGTGGGATAGCATGCCTAAGCACAAGATCGCAGACTGCATGCTTAGAATACTTTTTGCTGTAAGGTTCTTCAGAACGATTGCATCTCAATTCCATCCCACGCTGTCTTGGCAAAAGCCTCTGCATCCTTGTGCTCCTTACTGAACAGCTAATGAACTGCTTTCAAGCCTTTGCAGTGATCCCACAGACTTGAAGGAAAAAGGAGAAAGTAAGATTATCTTCAAACAGAATTCGGTAGAGTTTCCTGAGGTTGGCACTGGAAGCTTTTGTGGGAGAGGTCGGATGTGCAGCTCTGCTGACTTCAGCTCATGATGGGCACAGGCACCAGGGCCAGAAAAGGCTTTAGTATTTTCTCAGGAAGAAAATTCTGCAGCTGATGCTCCTAATCCACTTGTACTCCAGTTTCAAAACCCAAGCTTCTGAGCCCAACTTATGCTCATCTCCCACAGGAATCATTTTTAACTTTTCTTTCTCACTACCTTTATTTTTTGGGAACTACAAAACATTTGAGTATTGCACTGAGAAGGCAAACTACAGCTTCGCTGCTCATTTCTTTGGTTCTCCTTTCTGTTTTGCAGAGGTGAACCTCATTACTAGTAGTACTTACCTCATTGATTTTGGCTCTTTATCTTCTCTTACCCAGTGGTTGTGAGCGACTGTTGATTTTCAGCCTTAGAGGAAAAAGAAGTTGCCTTCTACATCACACTCCCACATCATCACACAGTGCTCTGCGCATTGAAAGGAGCGCATTCTGCTTTTGTTTGGGTCTGCACTTAAAAGTTTCAAACCCACGTGCTTCTGTCGGTAACTCACTGCCAGTGTTTCTCTCCCAAAGCAAAGTTTGTGTATCCTAATAGTTAACAAGCATCCTTCTCTGTGAATGTAGAGTTGTTCCCAGTTGTGCAAATCAAGGGTTAATCAGGATGGCTGGGGATTCTACCCACAGCTTGGACAATGCCAACAGAGCAGTGCAGATTAGGTAGCAGTGCTTAGGTCATGGCATAAATATTTACTTCTTAAATTGTGCCTGGATAGACGTTATCCCAAAGGATTAGCAGTGGATACCATCAAGAATTGTATGTAAACAGGTGCGTGGCCTGAAACACATGAATGAAAATACAGATAAATGTGAGGATTACATCTAAGCAGCCAGCTGTTATCTGGAAATACACGTTTGTAACCTGAAAACCTTTAATTTTACAGAGAGGTTCATAATTTGCCCCTGAGAGTGAGATTTTAGCTAGGTTTTTAGGTTTCAACTGTACTGCTGAAATATTTGATCTCCTCGGTACAGGATTAATCAATGATTTGATTTTTTCAAAGCCCCAGAAGCAAAACCAAATCTCTTTCTATATTTCTTCTTTAGTCACTCTTTCCTAGCATTGCTAACTAATTTACATTTCTCTGTGCTTTAAAATTAATTTCCCCTGTGTTCTACCCTATTTTAAACTGTTCAATATTAATCCTGCTAAGGTGATTGCTAAGCTAAATCTGGAGAATCAGATGTGAAGGCAAATGTTTTTCAAGTAGTTTACAAAGCCAGTTACCTTGTATTGGACAATAACTTCTAATACAAGATGTTGTTTTTTCCCCCACATCTCTTATCATACGATCAAGAGCACATGCAGATATCGGTGGCTGAGGTTTTCATATGTGTGTGTGTGTATATCTGTGTATATATATGTATGTGTGTGTATACATGTGAGTAGATATTTCTGCTAGATTAAATCTGCCCTATTGAAATTCTGACATGGTCATTCAGCATCACCTGTGTTTTGGAGGATCATTTTCACCAGCGTTACCCTGGTTCATATTAAATGCAACGGAGTTGAAATTGCTGGCTAGCAGACCCTCAGCTTTTCACAGCATTGTGTGTGGATTCCCCAGATACGTATAAATACAAACACGTGTAATTTTACCTCTTCAGCTCCTGATGCTCTTGTCTGTTTGAGAGTAAAGTGTTTAGAAAGAAAGATGCTAAAAAAAAAAAAGTATCAGGCATAAAAGAACAAATACAATAAAGCCAGGTGTCTGAGGAATTTCACTTCTGGTGTTGGGACTTGCAGGAACTACTACTGTGTCTAATAAACCACATTATTATCATAGATGTAACAGTCTGTGGTTAAATATGCATTCTAGGATGCAAGACATGAAATCAAAGTAATCAACAGCATATTTCTGAAACCAAGGAAGCAGAAAACCCACTCATTTTAAAAACAAAACCACAGCTTCCTAATGGGGAATAGCATAGTTTCCTTCATGAAATAAAGCAGAGTATATAGTGTTTGTTTGAAGAATTGCAGCTTGAAACAATTAGTTTTAGCTTTTTTTTCTTAGCTTTTTTGTTCTGTTTTTGTTTGACATTCATGCAAGCTACCAAAGCTTTAATCTAGCCATTTCATCTTCTGCATCTTGTGCCTCGTTTGGTACACAGCTCCAACGCAGGACAGGCTGAGAGCTGGGGCTGTGCAGCCTGGAGAAGAGAAGGCTCTGCAATGACCTGAGGGCAGCCTGTCAGTATCTAAAGGGGAGCTGCAGGAAAGAAGGGGACAGACTCTGGCAGGTCCCGTGGTGACAGAGCAAGGGGAAATGGCTGGAGAGGGTAGATTTAAGTTGGATATAAGGAAAAAGTCCTTTACAGTGAGGGTGGTGAGGCACTGGAGGAGGTTGCACCGAATTGCTGTGGATGCCCCATCCCTGGAGATGTTCAAGGCCAGGCTGAATCAGGCCCTGGGCAACCTGGTCTAGCTGTGGTGTCCCTGTGCATTGCAGGGCAGTTGGGCTGGATGGACCCTCAGGAGTCCCTTCCAACTCTGAGGATTCTGTGTTGCATTTTGAAACAGGTGCTAAGAAATGATTCTATGATTCTATAATGGGCACCATGGTGTTGGGCTGACGGTTCGACTTGAAGACTCCAAGGTCTTTTCCAACTGTGACAATTCTGTGATTCTGTGTGTTAAATTTGGAAGAAAAACTGCAGGAAATAATATTTTAATTTCTGTCCTGTTTTTGTTTCAGGCCTCCTCCATGAGTGGCACTTTAAGGTCTGCCAATACTCTACCAAACTGAAGACATTCCCTATGAATAATGCAGGTACCAAGTATCAAAATCATTAATTTGTGTCTCCTTTGTAAGGAGTTTATATGGGTTTGTTCTTACAGTTCATACATATATATATATATATGCACATATATACATATATATACATATATATATATATATATAAAATTAGAAGCAACTGTTATATTTTGAATCTTTGGTTAGCATCTCTAAAGGGAACTGAAACTTTCCAATCATACTGTGGCCATGTAGAGGCTGGAACATTTATTCTATGATTTGATCACAGTAGTTTACACCATAAGTTTACACTTACAGAACCAGCAAAGCAAATATATTGAACTTCACATTTTTACTTAAAATGATCAGAAGGTTAAAGATAGTGCTAGTATTGCATGCTAGAACTGCCAGCCTCACAAATGATCAAGTTACAAATTAGAGCATGAAATCGGGGGTCAAAATTTAAAGATTCAATAAACCACATATGGCCAAACTTTTTAACACTCCATTACAGGCACAGGGTTTGTAAAAGCTGTTGCGTAACCTAAGTTGAATGATATGAATAAACTTTCTGCAAAGTTGTAATGGGCCTTTGGATGTGCCGCTTTGTAACGATGATTCTATTTAATTAATTAGAACTTTACATAAAATATTCATCTCCCCACCTGTAGCTTTTTTTTTTTGCGTTTTTTTTTTTGGTGTAGGTGGACAAAATCAGTATCTGAATAAGGAAAATTAGAAAGAGAAGGTTATATACTTAGAAGATACTTGTCTCCTTTATGCACTGAAGGTCTCACTATGGCAATAATAAGGAGGGGTTGGTCAAGATGGTAGACTGCTTCTGAAAGATAAACATTTCAGACAGTGGGCTTTGCAAAAAGTAGTTTGAAGAAAGAGGAAATAAATGCTCTTGCTTTAAAAACGCCTGTGTCACCTGCAAATACCAGAAAGGGAAACAGGGAGAAAGAAGGAAAAAAAAATCTTATGGTGAAAGTAAAGCTCTATGGCTTTGAGCAACCATGGAGATTTTCCAGAGCTGAAATAAATGAACTCAACGTTTACATATGTATTAGTGGAATTGGTGCTGAAAGATAAAGTGAATTAAAATACAAAGCAAAAGACAGACTTAGTGCAGTGCAGGCTATCGTAATGGATTACTACAAATTAACTAGTGTTAACTAGAGGGGAAAACTAATTACAAAAGGCACAAAATACTCATTATACCAACCTTTTGAGCAAATCATCAGCTGCTTTATTAACAGAAATGAAGAGACAGTACAGACACCATACTCCTGAATCTTTTGGTTCTGATAAAAAATGAGGTAAGTTGTGTAGGAACACAACTGAGAGAACTGTACCTGCTGAGGCAGTCCATCCCAGCTGCGGGTGAGTGCAAGAAAGGAGGGTTTGAAGTCAGGAATAACAAACCCCCATGACCACCCACACCAATACAGTTAGAAGTGTCCTATAGAAGTGCAAATACCTCTGCCGTTCTGGGGCTGTCCCTGCCAGCCTCAGGTTCTCCTCAAGACACATTACCAGGTCACGCTTCCTTCCAGTTTCTGTTGCACAGTGCTGTCTTGCAGCTAGAAGTAATGTGTCTGCTCACCATCCACTTCCTTCTCAGGAGTTAAGCCTTTAGTTTGCAGGTAACGTTTCAGATGAAAGCACGCTTCACTTTGCTTCAATTCAGGTAAACCGGCTAAAGGAAATTGTTGAGTTAAGGGATCTGTCTGTCCTCTCATGCTGGCCAAAGCCGGGCACAAACCATTTTCTGAGCTGGCTGCTCTGCAGGCACAGCTAGCATGCTTCCAAGATCTCACACACAACTCTGATAATGTATGTAGAAATCGGATATCTTCCATCTCACACAACTATAATGCTGCAATAAACTACGATGTAATAAACACAATCTAGATTTGATCCAGTTTTATTGGGCCATTTACTACTTCTGCTTCACAACTACAACAAATGTGGTATGCCTCAAGTGTAGAAAGGAACTCTTGCCCAGGCTAAGGTGCAGATTTTAAGAGTAGCTTGTTTGAAATACTGGAGTTTTAGAAACAAACATGTCTTCCTTGTATTTCTGTTAAGAACTAATTTTAAGCAAAGCCTTTACTTTAGTCACTACTTAAGATTGTATTTCCTATCCTGGCATTTTCTGGCAAATAAAACATTTCTCAGTTTTTACTTCAGTCTTAATATTTACTGATATCAGCCAGCAACTCTCTTTGGAAATGTGACCTCAACTATAGGCTACTAATGTGAAACCAACCTGAACAGATACTAAGAAATATGATGCCCATTTCTTAAGATTTTTTTACTTTGCTGCCTGACAGATGGTGGTTGTTGTACTGTGTCCTATAAGAGTTTAATGCAGGGAATTCATAGACTTTTTCTGCAGAATGCATGATGATCACTACATTTTTAAAAATGAACTGGTGTTCTAGAATGCTAACAGTAAAGGCAAATGCAGACAAAGTTACTTTTGCAGGCTTTTTTAATATTACAAGGTTTTGTATTTCTAACATTATTTCTTCTCTTAAAGCCTCAGTGATGTGCTACAAAGCCTGAAATTCAGTTGGACTGTAGCATTCTGGGAAACAGAACAGCCAACAGAAAGGGGAAAGGGACATTAACAACTTTTATCAGCCTCTTCCAGGACCTCCCATAGTTGACATTGCTGGAAAAAAACCACCACCCAACCAGCATCTATGGAGAGTAGTTAATAGACTCAGTTGACTTACTGAGAAGTTATTTTCAGGTAAACACTTCAGAAAGTTCGGTAACAAAATAAGACCCGAGACTTGAGTTTTCTCTTACGGCAGAGAAGCACGAGGAGCTCTTCCTCTGATTTAAACATCAAGAACTTATCTTCTAATGCACCAGCAGCCTGAATCAGTTGCAGAACAAGAGAACACACACATATTTTGGTATTTGGCTTGTTCATTATACTGGTAGAAAGTACAGTTTGCACTTACCTGAAATGGCTACAGAGAAGTCTTCTCAAATCTCTATGAAAGTTTTGCTGTGTAATATGTTGAAGAACAGAACCATTTCCTCCTTTATATTAATGAAGATTTCAAACGTAAATTTAATCCTTGTAAAGCATCAGAAAGTAAATATTTCAGTATTTTATTAGATGTATACTTAAATCAAGCTCATTGCTCTAGTTAAGTATACTTTGGTTTTCATCACAATTAGATTCTGTCCTGCACATCTGAGGAAACACAGAACTGATCTGACCAAACCAATCATTCATTTCGATAGATTTTTGTGGGCTTTTCAGTACTTACTTTTTCAAACTCTCCCCATCCCCCAAAAGGCTGCAGGTTGTAGGGCAGGCATGTTCCTTTATGTTTAAATGACAGGGAAGGTGTGGGGAGATCATTTACCCTCAACACGCAGCGATGCAGAAGCAGGCACAGTTCTAAGAAACGTTTCAATGTGCGACCGATCTTCGTTGGCACGAGTGAATGAGAAACACAAGTAATCGATGGACTGCCTCTATGGACAAAGCACTGTAATCACTACAACTTTATTGACAAACTACCATTCTAGAAGGCTGAATAGTCAAGACAAATTCAGACAAAGTTAGTTTAGTAAGATTTCTCCATGTCCTTGAAGAGATTAGTCTATTCAGTAAGAAAATACTGTACATACATGCCCCAGCAATGCTGTGCAGCATTTTTTAGGAACTGTTAGGAAATGAACAAAAAATGCCAAACAAAAAAACCCCACAAAATTTAGCAAGGCGGGATTGCCCAAGCAGGAATGTGGCACTTGCATGTAATAAAGCAGATATTTACAGTAAGCACAATACAGCAATTTATTTAGATGTTTAAATGAAGAATACAAAGGGAAATAAAGATCACAAAATTATACATACTACAACAGTGTGTCATATATTAGATGGTATAAATGAATACAACACCTTGTTGGTGTTAACTAAAGATAAAACTAAATATCCAAAACACAGCACTGTTGTTTTAAGTGTGCTGCTTCAACACAATACACTTTTATACAGATCTAAAAGGTGTCAAAATTAGTAGCTGCAAACTTGTTTCTTGCATGTGATTTTTCATCTTTAGCTTAAAAGATTTCAGAAAATGGCTCTGAAATACGTTTGTCATCAGTTGTAATGTCAAGGATACTCAGAACAAGAAAATTCTATAATACAATAAGAGTCCAGATATATTTTTTTATGGTGCTGGCCTCTGTTTTTGAGATTGTACAAGGTTATGTGCAAAAACTAAGTTTGTCAAAATTCGTACTATAGCAGTTTCAAGCTTTTGCTAGGTAAACTAAATACAGCATTTATTACACAGCAGGGCAACACTAAAAAAGAGAAACAAATCTATGATGGGTACACAAGAACAATTTCATAAGCTTCACTTGAATAGGTCTAAAAGACTGTACAAATATACATTTCAACTATTCAGAATGATACATGAAAAAAATCAATTTCCCCATAGTCTACTATACACGTTGAACTGGTAGCTTGTATGTTGGCCCTACACACTACCATGTGAAAAAGGGTAATGTTTAAAAAGACATACAACTGAACATGTACAAGAGTGAAATAAATGGTGAAAACGCAGATAAAATAAACCTCTGCTTTTCTCTGTGTGCATTCTTGAGCCACCAGCTTATCTGTTTTCACATTAAATTACTGTGCTCATCCCAGCAAGTACTCACAAGCAAGATCAGCCAACGGCATCCTCAACCACTGGAGTAACAGTGGCCACGAACACCACGCACCGTGACCCAGCACTTGGAAGGCAGTTCCAGTCAGAATTTCAGCTTAGCAGTCATACTGAAATGAACGTGTTTAGACAGTTGTAGATTGGATCGTGTCTCTGACACTTCTGTGTCGAGGAGCTTATGCTTGCTGACTGCTCAGCTCCACACCAGATAAGCTGCTGTGCATTGGTTCTGCTACCCCATCAGTCACACCGTCAAAGTGATCTCCGTCCTCGCTGTCAATTGTGCTGTTCTGCCATTCCATCTGCTGATTTGACAAGCTCTCCTCAATCTCTGATGTATTTTTCCATTGCGACTGGTCCTTGGCCCAGAACTCTTCTACTTTTCCATAGGAACGATTCTTCCACTTTGACTGCTCTTCATCACTCTCAGACCCACCTCCTTTTGTCTCTACAGTAGGTTTACTGCTGCCAGCATCTTCGCTTTGTGAGGATTCATCTGTCCACACTTCTGGTTTTACTTCTGACGTGTTATCTTCAAAATCAGAAACTTGCTGAGAACCAGGCCCACTTTCAGACTGCGAAGCTCCATCTTTCCATTCAACAGCATCATCTTGATCATCCTGATAACCTTCACTATCTGAAACATCACCAACCAGTTTTGTCTGCCCTTCGGCAGAAATAATCTCCTCATATTTAGAGCTTTCTTCTTGTTTTTGATCAGACTTTTCTGGAGATGGTGAGGTATTTTCTTCAATGATTTCCTTGGATATGCCATCCTCTGGGTTCTCTGCGATGCTATCAGGAGAAGCTTTCTCACCAATGTCAGTAATATGTGGACCAAATGGACTACTGCTTTCATTGTATTCCTCTTCTATATTCTCATAGCTGTCTGATGAACTTTCATTGTCTTTATCTATGTTTATTTTTTTATCAACAGTCTTACTAACGTTAACTCTGGAATTCTTTTCATCGTGGTTTTCAAACAGCCATTCAGCATCAAAATCCATTTCGTGTTTAACTTTGTTTAATTCTTTCATATTGAAACCAAGCAGCACACCAGGTTTGTATTTTTCACAATCTCTAACGCATTTTTTCCTTTTGTTGCTGAAGTGAGATGCAATATCAGATTTCCACAGCCACAGACTGGCAGCCAGCTTTTCAATCTCTCTCCTAGTTGGATATGGTTGCTTATTAAAATATTTTGTGAGAAATGTTTTCCTGGCTTCATAGGAATCATCTTCGTGACCCTTGGGGTCCAATGCTAGAACTACCGGTTCTTCAGGCTTCTCCTCAAAGGCAGAGGGGGAGTCATCATCATCCATTTTCCTTCTCTTCATCAGAGAGAATTCCATGTGTTCATACGTACGTTTTACAGGGGCTACCCCTGCAGACTGACTTAGCCGGGATGATGAAGTACCTTTGTCCTGGCCATTCTGAGTCTTCCCAACACCTCTGCAGTGAACAAGGTGCAACGTTATAGTTGAGGCAGTCATGTTACTGGTATACACGCCAAGGCAATGAATGCATTTGTAGGTTAGTTTTTTCTCAACCGGATGAACCGTCTGAATAACCTGATGCCTCTCCCGCAGATGATGTGCAAGTGCATCAGAGATGGGTCCTTTTAGGATTGAAAAGCACAGAGGACAGAGGGTTTTCCCCACATCTTTCTTGTAAGGAACTGCTGCTTGTGGAGAGCTTTTCACAGGTACATCAGACTTCTCTTGGATTTTCGGCTGTGGTTTTGGAGGAACTGGAGGTGTGTTCTGAGCATGATAAGCTACAGATTCAGCAGGAGCATCCCTCAGGTTGTAGGTTGTTACGAGAAGATGTATATTTGTGAGACTACCCTGCTGCAGCGTCAAATCAAAAGTTAAAGTGGAATCAGTTTTAGGTCCCATTTCTTCATCAACATGAACCATTCGCATATGAGCAGCCATCTTTTCAACATCATTGAAGGTTGAGCGGCAATACGGACAAGACAAACCATGTATTAACATATGATTAAGCAATGTATCAGTGGGTAAATAGCGATTACAGTATAAACATTTGCTAGTGAAATTGTGGATTTTCATTATATAATTAGCTACTGCAGGCACCTTTTCAGCCTTGTGCTCCTTTTCAAAGTGAACGCTATACACATTTTCAGGAAACAGCTCATTACAGATTGTACAGATTTTCCACTTTTGTGTGGAAGATGTATTGACAGAAGAAGGACCTGTAGCAGCTACAGGAGATTTTGAGCCAGACTGACCTAATACTCTTGAAGCTGCCTGTGACTGAGATAACGACGTTTGTTTCAACTGAGCTGATGACAAGGAAGTTGAATTGGCAGACTGAAGAGAGTATCTTGCTGAGGCCTGAGATCTCTGCTCCCCGAGAGTGTAAGGCCTTCCATTTCCACTTGAAAACTGTTTCATTGTTTGAGATTGCTGTGGAATAGAAACTGGTGCATTGCCACTTAAGCTCAGCCTTCCCCCTGGCTGGCCAACATAACTTGGTGGTACTGATTTGACTCCATAATTGTTTTGCTGTAAGTGAACATTTGACATCATATTCACTCCTGCAGAATTTAACGTAGGCTTTGGTATAGTGAGTCTGTTCATCATCTGTTGTGACGAAAGAGATCGAACGCTCCCAGGGGAAAGGGGACCCATCCTCTGAGGGAGTCCCATAGGCTTTTTGTCCTGTGGTTTTGGAGCTATTAGCATCAAAGGTTTAGACCTTGGAACCACTACATTAGTGTGACCTATCATCGCTGTTACCTGATACCCTATACGTTCATGGTCTTCAATAACGTGCTGTACTAAAGCTTCATACGATTTCGGCATAAAAAGGCATCGTTTGCAATGAATACTACCCTCTTCCCGGGTACTGGAACTTAATGGAACTGCACCATTGAGTGACTTTTCACCTCCCTTTGCTACGTAAGGAGCAGCTACGTGCTGAAAATGTTCCCTGTAAATGTGCTTTCTAACAATTTCATACAGCGGATCTCGGTAAGTGCACTTCTTACAGTAATAAACAGCTTGTTCTACACTGTCAGCCTGCTTAGGTTTAAGGCTATCATGCTTGTTTTTATCTTTAAAAGTGCTGATGCCTCCACTCGGTGTATTGGCATTTGGAGCATGAAATATTTTAATGTGCGTTTCCAAAGTCTTTTTGTCTGCATTGAAAGTACAGTATGGACAATTAAGGAGAATCCGATTTTCAAAGTCTTCGCTATGGACATTCCGGAAGTGGCTTTTGTACGCTGAAAAGAACTTCGAGGAAAATGGACACGCGCTGCAGCAAAAGGGCTTTGTCCGATAGTCCTTGAAACAAAGAACAAAGCAGAAACTGAATATGGAAAAGCAGTTTTTGGAACAAGACTCTCTCTGAACTTCTGTGAACAACTACAGTCTGAGACCCACTGCAACAATCTCCAATCTTGAGATCAATTTATTCTCTGCAATTCTTGGCCTACAGATGAAGTCCTACGTTTATCATCTGAACACACACAAGGCAGTGATAGCCAATTTAAAAGGTCCCTCAAGAGTTTGGCCATGCCCTCAGCATTCAAGGATAAAGCATAAATATCTCTTCCACCAGTCAACAGAAGCTGCGTTCCCTGCAGCTGAGCATGCAAACGTTCACCGTTATTTCATTAGTTTGGAAAAGGAAAGCATGGCTGTTGGTGTAGAATGAGACTGCATCCAGAAGACAGGAGTTATTTCCCTTTGGTTCTGCCAAACATTTATCGAGACAGCTAACACTTCACATCCATTCTATTTAAAAGTCTTAATCAGTTACAAAGTTTAAGATAAAGAATACTCTTCAAGAATTACATACTAAGGCCAGACAATCCCTTAAAGCAACCACATTTTCTTTCAGATCAAAGCACAATCCTGGTTTTTAAAATAATAATGTATCAGGGGAATTAAAAAAAAAAAAGGGGGGGGTACTTGAAAGCTCCACACTTGCCTACTTTCCCTGCTGATGGCAGTTCTTATCCACTGTTTTAAAAGAACTAAAATTATGTTGGCCTCAGAGACAGCCACAAGCAACCTGTCATTTCAGATGAGATAAGACATGAATTTCACACAGTTACAATCATTCATAGCGTGTGTCAAAACAAGTCTCGTTCACCAAGTTACACAAAGAGCATTTAAAATATCTGGAGAATTGTACTCTCCCTTTGTACAAGCAAGCATATATGCTTCTGTCCACCTTCTGAAACCCTGGCCATCTCATAGGCTGGAGGCAAGAGGCAATACAAACTAAACAAAGGTTGTCTCCTTTTACAGTGAGGGTTTGTTTTTCTTTTTTCATTCTGGGATTAACTAGGAAAAAACGCACATCAGTATATTTTATGGAACACAATAAAGGATATTTTAGATGAAGACCACACTAGGAATCCACCATAATGTGGCTTCTCAGGTCTTTCAGATGGTGCAAGTGGGCTTATTTTGTACAGAGATTTCTCACCTTCTCACTGTTCTGTAAGTGCTGGTAAGTCTATGATGGTAGAGGTTATTGCAATCCATACCTTAATGCACTGTCTTAACACAATAAATCAGTAAAGTCAAATCACTGTAATAGAAACATTCCCTTCTTCCAGTTTCAGCTTGCTTCAAATCTCCTTTAATCACCGACTCAACATCTAAAAATCCTCTGTGCAGAACTACATATCCCAATAAACCAAAACCTGAGTCAGGTTAGGAGAATCCTCACGACACACAGCTACAGCTCTAAAGAGAGTGCTAGTTAAATCTGTTCATTTAAACTTTTTCTAAAATCTTGCTAGCAAAAAGGCTAACAAAATTACTACAAACTACAGAATTGGTGATCCTTTGACTGGAAGATAGATGAAACTGTGTTAAGCTTGAAAACAGATGGCCTGTTACAATGTAGCTGACAAAGGGATAGAGATATTCTGACAAGTCATTTCTCCAATATTTTGCTATCAGCACTTCGTAAAATAAAACTGAGATTATTGCTTCTAAAATAATAAAACCTTTTTCTGTCTGTTAAAGCAAAGACAATTGATCAGTGGGTAAAATCACAGGAAAAGCTCTTGGCACATTTGTGAAATGCCCCTTGATACGAACCATCTTCAGAATCTGATGTGTCAATATAAACTGTTACCAACCTGATTTTTCGTAAGCGATGGGTCCCACAATCCTACATCTTCCCATGTAGTGTTTTTCAAATAAAAGTCATTAGGTTCAAACTGTTTAAAATCCTGGAGAAGGGAAAGATGGGAAGAGAGCACAGACAATCAAAACCCAGACCAACTGCTCCCTTAAGCAACTCTTGTAAGCATTCATGCTGTCCTCTCACTCACACGCTGCTGGTGAATAGCGAAGAGCATTAATTAAAGAAATCTGCATATTTAAATGCATAATTTGGAGGTAAAAATTTGTGAACAATCTCAATACAAGGACTATTTTCAACATACATTCTGCTAATTAACGCAAGACTGTCATTAAATACCTGCCCCATCTTCAAAAGCAGTCCCTGATACCAACAGCTGAATACTGATACATTAAAAATCAAATTCTGTACCACAAACTTGGTGGTGCTGGTTGTTTTTTTTTAAATGTTGTTGGCTTTGTTGTTTGTTTTTAAATTTATTTCACAGAGGAATTTAGATCCAAGTTTGACAATATGCACGGTGTCTAAGTAGCCCAATTCCTATTAAAACAAAGTGCTTCGTACTTCGTCTTTGGCATCAGCAGCACACAGAGACTGAAATTAATACTTCAAAGCAACACTGTCCCTAGTCACAACTTTACCCTTAAAAACCAAGTGTGCCCACAGATTTCCTACACGGGGAGAACAGGTATTCCTCTTTCTCTTCAAGTATCTCACTTAAATCCTCCTTAAAAAGATAGTAATGAAATACAAAAGCAAAGTCATACTCTTGTGGGTACTCTGAACAGTCCAGAGGTATGAACTGACCTACCAAATGCTGTGTTCAGGAGAAAAAGTGCATTTTTTAGAGTAGCACAAACACCTTTTCCTTCTAGGAACTAACACAAGTATGTAAGTAGTTTGTTCAATTGATGACCTGTATTTCAGCACCAACAAACATTCCGTGAAAATCTCAGGATCTTCTGTCCCACAGAAACGCCCTGTACCACACCGTCTTGATTTATTCCTAAGTGCCCAGTTAGCAAATGTTATCCTTTGGAGCCAAACACAAAGAACAACCTACCTTCAACATACGTCAAGTCAGTCATAAATAGCCTGAGGCCTACCTCATCTCCAGCAGACTTCCTAAGAAGTGTTTGTAGCACATTTTAGCTCAAACTATTAATTAAATCACACTTTGTATAGGACTTAAAAAAAACCAGCGCAATAAAAAACAGGCAGCAATGCCTGAACAGCAAAGCTCAAGCAGAATCCCATAGTCACTTTCAGAAGCTGCTGAGAACAGGAGTGAGGTGTGGGATCAGGGTACAAAAGGTTCCAGAAACATCCTTCAAAGCTTACAGGAAGAATTCAACGTTTGACAAAGCAGGGAAAAAAACCAAACAACTGTGCCCTCACTTTTCCACTAATGTTTGAGCATTTCAGCTCTGAAGCACTTGAGAGGTATCATACTTACTTCTATATGTTCTTTACAGTATTCCAAACCAATGTCACTAAGTATTTTTTTCACAGTTTTCCGGGCCTTTCTTAAACTGCCAAGGTTGTTGACAGGAAGTTGGAACATAGTTTCTATTGAAAAACAAAGTCAGAGAAGAGGTTTAAGTCACATGTGCTTTGTCTGACGAAGAGCTGCATTTAATTGTTAGTAATTTTCTCTCTCATCTTCCCCATAACTAAAAGAAAGTCTCAACCTTTAAGATATGTGGATTCTCTGCACTCAGGTTTCTTCCACGTGCCAATAAGTGGCCTTATTTCACATGCACAGCAATTCTCAGTCTGCATGCTGCTACCATTACACTAAGCACTTCCTGAGCTACAGAACCATCATCAACTCATCTGCACTTCAGGAAGGTGCAAACCACAGAAGCGCAGGAGTCTTTTGGCAATATACACTTCTTCTGGGAGAGGCAGGGGAGCATGCAATGAACAGGCAGGTTCTTCCTCAAAGCAAAGCAGAGATGATCTGTGATCTTGTTGACTAGGCTCTGGTGCTCTACTGTCTGTTGCATAAAAAATATCATCCTAGAAGATAAAAGCTGCATTTCTATCATTAATATTCCTGGAAGCTAATTCTTGCTTTGTTAGAACATATTTTTTAATTATTCTTATCAACTAATTAATCACTACAGGGCCAGAGAATAACTACAACAACAAAAAATTGGCTTCTTGGATGGAAGAAGTCTACAACTCAGAATGAGCAGAAGCTTAAAACCACGGAACAGTTCAGTTAGAAAAACAAAAATCTCTCACCATGAGATGAAGGGCAGTCTCTAAGATACAAGGAACTTACTACAGAATTTATTCAAGTAAAAAGATGGGGGTTGTGACTGCAGTAACCGAGCGCTCCGATCAAACACAGCCCTGCTGCACTCCCTGTCCTGCACAGTTCTGTGTACACACCAGGCTTTTTGTGCTCATTCTCCTACCAACTTCGACGAGGTGATGCTGTAACAGTCACTAATGACTTACTATTCCATGACTGTCACCACCACCGCTCAGTGCCAGAAACAGACAAAAGTGACAGGGCCAACACAAACCCACCAGCTTCACCATCAACAAGGACTGAGTATCACTAAGCTCTCATCCCTTCCCATTCATCTAATTCAGAAACAGCTCTTGACTAAGAGTAGCAAGCTGATCAGGATGTTTATGACTGATTTCTAATTTGTAGCCATGATACGAAGAAGAAACAATACTGAATTTATTAAGGGTCTACAGGAGAATTTTCAGAAATACCAAACCAACTCTAATGCTGTGGTGTCTGCAGCACCCACGGTCACAAGGAAACACAGCTGCATGGAGCACTGTGTACACAAAAGCTAGGAAACCAAAGAAAAGTGTTGACTTAGTCTATAAATCTCAGGTCTCCAAATTTCTCAGTTAAATTACCTGCAGCAGAGACACTGCTCAGAGACATCACACAAAGTCACTAATGACAGTAATTTAAAGAAATCATATAGGCCAGGAAAAAATTACTTCAACTTAGATATTGATTTCCTCCAAGATTTGTTGTGAGTATAAGCACAGTGTATTTACCTGACCTAAATTCTAACTGCAAGTTCATAATGTTTGTGACAGTAAAGGTGTTTCAGCTAGCATTCCTCTCTACTCTCAATTAAAAGGATTGGAATTATAAAAAAACCTATGATTTAGTTAACGTGAAAAGTTGCTTTCTGTATGTTATCTGGAACCTTTCATTTGAGATAAACCCAAACCACTCTACAAAGAATTAGCATTCTGGTGAAGTACTTCACACGTAATCAGCATTCTGGTGAAATACTTCACATGTAGAGTCGTTATCAGCCTGGTAACTCATTTGCCACATTGGAGATAAGAACCCAAACCCAGCTATGAAGAGCACTTCCACAGGTATCCTCTGCCTTCTCAGAGATGGCGAGGATTAAACAGAACACAATGGAAAATTACACTCTCTTACTGCCTCTAAAGACACCGAATGAAAGCCATGAACTGCTGTTTTTGTTACCTGTGTTCATTCCTACCTGTACACCTTTATAATCAAGCATCTTATCTGCAATTACAAAAAATACCCAGGCCTAATACATTATCCTTCATGATGCAAGAGTGAATGTCATCATCTGGGTAATCAGATTGATCCATGTACTCACTCCCAGCCAAGGACTTTTTTTCATCCTCACAAAGGACTAGGAAACAAGGTTTGCATCTGAATCTCTAACTTATGTTAGTTTTGAAAGCTGACAAAGGCAAACCAGTTACTTCGTTATAAACAGCATCTGAGCTCATGGCTCCATTATCAGATGTTCTGAGAATATTCATATTATCCCCTTGCGCCTTCTTCTCTCCCAAGATCCATTTCTAAAGGCACACACTGAAGAGAATTAGGAAAAACCCTTAAGTGTTATAAAGTGTTGTAGCTCTGTACTGTGTATTAGGCTTTGGTAAGCAATAACAGAACGTGCCAAGCTCTGCCCTACTTATCTGCCCATCCTTGTGCCTGTGCTGTGGTTATTCAGTTTTACTGCCTAGGCACCTCTGGACAAAAGCTATTTCCTGGTAAAATAAAAATAATACCATTTACGACAAAGTACCAACGCATAAGTGGTGAAAAAGCTTTTGAGAATAACAATGGATATTTACACTGCAAGCATCTGTATTGAGAAATGGTTGTATTAAACAACCACACTTTAAGACCAAAAAGAGCAACTTCCACACACTTCAGAGCAATATTACGTTAGGTACTTCCACGAGCAGAACTAAAACTTCCCAAAGAAAAATTTTAAGATTGCAGTTTTGCTTCTATTGTAAATACATCTAATATAACTTAGAAATTTTACATCATTTTACATCAAAAGATGTAAGGGGTAACTGAAAATGCTTAACAACAGTGCTGAATCAGCAATGCCAGTTTCATACAGCGACACTATATTTATTATTACAGTGACACAATTTATTACTGTGACACTATAACATGATGGAAAACACAGCACTGACAGTGGGATAGCAAAGTCCCAGGCTGCAGCAAGTGAGGATAAGCTGAACTGCAGCAGACGTGGATGCAGAAACAAAGGAAGAAGTCTGCTTACCCTTGGAAGGCCTCAGCTGGGCAGGGATCTCCAGCAAGATACTCTTGCCTCCACTGCCAACCCTTAAATGAGGGCTGGAGGAGGTGGATCCTGGCCCTTCCAGTCACTCAGGTACATTGCATGCACCTGAGCTCCCCTGCCTTCCCACCAGGTGCTCCATCACTCCTTCAGGCCATGACTTAGCACTTCTAAGTGCACAAATAGTAACAACAGCACTGCACTTAGCACAAATAGTATCAAAGAAAATATGAAAAGAGTAATGGGGAAAGGGCTGTGGAGCATTTAAACTCCTAACGAGCCCGCTGGTCAACACAAATTGTAAGGCTGCATCCTACATGCAATTTTCAAGTGGTATTTTCTCTGCTTTTGATCCGTGGTTGAAGTAGTAAGTAGAACTTACTTTTTTGTTCAGGTGGAAAAAGCAACCCAAACCTGTAGCTCCTTTTCCTAGGCCTGTCACTACAAAACAGTGCTCAGTGCTAAGCTCACTGTCACTTTTTTCATGACTTGACTTGTAAGAGATCTGAATTTTATGATAGTAGGACTGCATCAATAGGAAACCAAATCCAATATCGCATTAAGAAGGTATGGCTACCGTGTCACTGCCACCACATCTCACACTGCATAGGTTGCATGTACATTCTTCATCACAACATTTTCAAAGAAAATAGTCTTTAATATTCAATTCCACTTCCTCCCAGAACACAACTGGGGATTATGGCTTTGAACTCTTAAGTTCCAATCAAGTTAATACAGGTTTACTTTCCTTAGAATATTTTTAACATTCAAGAACGTTCATTTAATAAAAGCTCCTGCTGCTGTAGTTTACTGTGCACGTGTGAGAAACTAAGAATGTGGCCAAGAAATTAATCATGGCTCCATTAGTTTACTTCTCTAAATGCAACTAAATATGTATTGCTGTCACTGCAGGACATTATTTCTCCATGCTTTCAGTAGCTTCTTCCTACATTCCTGCACACTCAAAAACTACATGAAACAGCACTGTCAGCTGTTGTGCAGGATGTGAATGAACACTTCACAATGAATTTCAAATCCACAGAGAAAATAACCTTGTAGTTTCATTCCAGGATAACCCTTTATCTTAGTATCGACTGTAGAATCAGTGCATGAAAGCATTCAATGTTAAAGCTTCTGGCAAGCAGTGACATTTTCTCCATAACCCAAATCCCCACTTGAGGAATCATTCTGCTTGTGAAGAGACCATAATTCTCCTAGAGACAAAGTGAGAGTACCGTTTGTCTCCAGGCAGTGACCACTGGTATATGTGAAAGTCAGATACAGTTCTCAAAATATTATTAGCAAGTAACTTACTTGAATGGAAAGTGCCAATATCAATGCCTTCAACCAAAACCATTGAGTACTTTCTCTTGATTACTGTGTCTAACAAACCTGGACATGTCAAACATATAATGATGTATATTTGTATATAAGCCCAAGTAACAAAAAAAGCAAATTTAAGACTGCTTAGAAACAAGATTTCAGTTGTATCTACTCTATCATCCTGCCTTCTGCCTGCCTCATAGCCAACTCCTAAGAAATGGTCAACATCTTCCTATCACAACACGTCATAATACAGGATACAATCGGATCTTCACATCTGAAAACTGAAGATCAGACTTCACAGCAAAAGGATTTTTCTCTCTATTTAAATGTTCTGTGCTTGTTACCCATAGCTGGTGAAAGAAAACAAAAGAAGGGGAAAGAAAAACCACCCTGAAATGCTCATAGGAGTGATGTGAGCAACCTTCAGGAGAAACAAAAGCAAACAGGGAGAACAGACCCATTACTAGTGGAAATTGCTGCTTAGCTTAGGAACTGAACTGCACATTACCAAGATAGAGGAGATCAGGACTATGCTCACTGGTACAGCACAACAGAAGGAAACATGAGAAGCCTTACATGAAAATTATCTGCAGCACAGCCACAGAAGGTTCAACCACTCCCGAAGTCAAGGTTTTTGTTTTGTTTCTTTTTGGAGTTTAGTACTTAGACTTGATGCAGCTTTCAACAGCAAATTGTATCTTCACCAATTTGCTACTTTTACTAATACTTCAAATTCCAGATGGAAACAAATGTGGCCATCAACTTAAAAACATCCAGGATGGGAAACCTGACACATCCACCACCTGTTACTGCCAAATTTTTAAACCACTTTTTGTGTTTAATAAACTCTTATCAATGTATAACCTTCAAGCACTTCAAGTTATAGCCCTGCAGCTCAATGCTTCAACATACCATTACTAAAGGACTGAAGCCACCTACAAAAACTAAGTCAAAACAGAAGAAAATAATAAAATAACACTGTGCTGGTATGTGGAAAATTAATGTAAAACACAATGCTGCGTGCCTGACTGAAGGTTCTACGTTGCAACAAGTAATGTTTGTCTTGTTTTTTTTCAATGCAAACAGTCATCCCTTTATGAGGGAAGTACTGCTTTTACACACAATGCAGCACAGTCACAACTGTGTCCTTACTGGAAGGTGTGCACCCAGGAGAGGGTAAGGAACACAGGTGGGAGAAAACAAGAACACAGCAGTTAAATTATCAGGTGATTAAAAAAAAAAAAACACCACCACCAAGGAAAAGCCTCTGCCTGTCTGCAGATCCAAAAAGCTGCTTCTATTTTTGTGATCCTAGGAGTGCCATGCTCCAGCATATCTTTCTGTATCTCTGGCCTCGCAGCTCACTGCCCTTAGTGCTACCAGGTAACAACAGATGTTAAGGATGCTTCAGTTCTGCCAACTTCACCCAGAACAACATGGCCAACCTCGTGGCACGAGGCCGTGGAGCACTCACCAGGCAGCAGTGCTGTTCTGATTCAGGAGAAGATGCATCAGCGAGATGAAGACAGCTTTTTTCTCTCAACTACAGTCTTCAATAAATATTCCAAATCTGCCTCAGCCTTTTTTTGTTGTTTTTAGACAACATGATTTGAAGTGTTTAATAGGCTTGTCTGATGACTGAGGTTTGCTACAGCTGTGCCAAGCAGCAAATGTAATAAATTATTATTGTCACAGCCCCGTCAGTAAAATGGTGATTTTCATACACAAGTAGTCTGTAGACCTAAAGAAATAATCTGGAGGATACTCCTGCAGTGTAAAAGAACCAAGAGAGCACCAGTGGACTACTCTTGGCTTTCTTATGCCTGACTACACCATGAGGAAACCCTCGCACAACTGGCACACACACAACTGTTGCTGACCCCTAGCATTTAACTGAGGGAGGTGTTTTCATTTAACAACGCTGATAAAAAGCACCACTGTGAAATGACAAGTAAAAAAAGAAGTTGTGGAAAATGTGCAAACAAAAGTTGGTCTCTACGGCACACAAAATAATTCACAGGTGCGTAAAGACAACTGTCTCTTGGGCACATTATTATAAATGTAATAAAACACCAGTTTTACCTTCAATGACTATGTTTGGTTGACCCTTCATCTCCTAATGCTGTCGTTTATTCACACTATGAAGACTGAGAAAACCTGAACTTTATGGTGATCTAAAATACAGCCTTACCAACTGCACTGTTCAGGACAGTACTGAGAGCACGCATGCAAAACAGACAATTTCAAAAGCAATATCTGAACTCTATCCCATTTTGAGTTTCTGTTTATATACATCTGTACATCTGTATATATCAATCCTGTCTTAGTAATCATCTCTGCAAGACCTGTAATTCATTAAACAGATAATTTTGAAACTGAACAACAGTAACATTTTCTTTAATGTCTGCACATACTTAGAAAAGCAGAACTGCTCTTACTTCTCCTTTTCCCTCTCCCCATTAGTATCCCTCTGCTGCTTCAAAAGGTCCATCCTTTTGTTGCTCTTTTCCCCTTTCCTCCTCATCCTTTCTTTGCTGGTTCTGGGCCTTCTTGGTCCTTACCTCGCTCATTTTCCCTCTTCTCATCTTCCCTGCGCCAATTCATAGCGTCCACATTCTTTCGTCGTTCTCTCTCATCCTGTCTCCATCGCTTCTTGATATCTTTGTCCTTAACTTGCTCATTTTCTCTCCTCTTCTCATCATCCCTGTGCCATTTTATTGTTTCTGCATTTTTCTGTGGGTCCACGCTTCTTTTGAGATAGTCTTGTCGCCTCCTTCTCTTTTTTAACATATCTCTTTCCCTGGCACGAGCCTGCTTTTCTTTCTGGGAAAGAAAAGCTTTACGGGGCATCATGAGCTGCTGCTGTACCTGTAATAATATTGTATTCCATGGAATAATGTACTATAACATGCACTCGGTCAGGCACAACAACTCTCATTTGGAGCTGAGTATTTCAAAGCCAGGATAATTTACTGCTTCTTCTCTTTCCTTTGTAAATCTCTGCTAGCTCTGTATTAGATAGTGCTAGGCAAGCTGCTACATTCAGCTCCGGGCACAATACCTAACTGGCACCTCAGCAGTTGGTGCACATCCAACACAGAAAAGTAAGCCCCCTAAAACCCTGAGCTGAAGCAGGATGTTTTCTTTCCCCTCCCTCTTACAACTCCTCCCACAGAGAGTTTTTAGCAGCCACTTGGCATTACAGCATCCAATTGAGAGAACAGGCTGACAGAAGAGAGTTGTGAAAGAAACCTGGTAATGTTCAAGCCTTAATCTCTTCTTCTACTGGAGATCTACCGTTAATGAAGCTTAAAGATCTTTATTTGTATTTTCAGATCTCCATCTATATAAAATTTGGTTTAAAGTGGCCAACGTTCTTGGCTGGGAGGAGCGAGAGGCCAGCAGGAGACAAGCCACAAGCTGAAGAACTACACAAGCTTTGTTTCCTTGGGAAACCTGGCCAAAACATTTAACTGCAGTTAGTGAAATAAGTCCTGACTCATCTACTCAAACTTTCTCTGTGTGTCAAGTCTTGCTATTCACAAGACCAGAGGAAAAAAGAATGTACCTATTTACTTGAAGTTTCTACCAAAAACATGCCTGATGAGCTTTTGTTTTGTTTTCTTAAGAGGTGTCAGTTAAGACTGCCTTTTAACAAATCATTTTATTTGGGTCATTTCTCCATAGCCATCCAACACATTCACATCGTTAAATTTATTGATGTTAACATCTGCAATTTTGACATTATGGAAAACAAAACAGACCACAGAAAGAATTTTTACTATTACTACTATTCTTTAAAGACTCTTCCATGCACATTGAGCAACATTTCAGAAGTATTCCAAACTGCAGTTGTGGCCCAGGTTTGTTTGTTTTGGTTTCTGAATTTGTTTAGAAGAGAGTTTTGCAGAGGTATCTAATCAAAATGAAAACTGCAGAAAGGACAAAGTTACTAGATTAGAATACTTAAACAAAGCCTAAAAGAAAATGAAACAAATGTACTTTTAAAATTTAGCTACCTTATGGAAAGCACTTGTTCCCAGCATGCAATACTCCATCTTTTTCCTACAGAAAAAGCAATGTTTCAAACCCTTATTCTAAAATCCTGCTCCTTTTCCCTGGGTAATATATCCTCCCCCCCCCCCCCCTTACCATCCCCCCACCCCAAACACTATTCTAGACCATAGACTTTGTTAGAAATATCAAAATCCCACCATTTTCATTGTAATAATTCAAACTATTTTCTTAATATCCATACTACTAAAAGGGAAGGGCTGTAGCAGGGTGAAACAGAGCATAATAAAAAACACATGCAATTTGGTAACAAGTTAGTGCACAAAAATTCAGATTATACTAAATGCTAGTTCATTAAGAAGTACAGAATACCCCTCTACTAGACAGCCTGTTTTTAAGTATTAAGAAGTATTTGGTATTAATAATTATTAATAATAACGTTGTCATTAACATTAGAAAGCACTGAGAGCCCAGGATTGACATCAGTGCAATCTTTACGTCTTTGAAACAGCTTTAACTTCTCTATCAGCTGTGTGCCAGTACATCACTGTTGTTTACTATAGCAAGCTGAACTTTTCTTATCTACCTTATCTTCAATTTTATCAGTAACTTGATTTTATTCCAATCATAACAACATGAATAAATTTCTAATTCAGACACAGCTTCATGCAAATAATTTCCCCCCACCCCTCTCCAAGCAAGGTTTGACATTTACAGTGTGCCATTAAAAAAAAGCCCTTTGGGGATATAATTGTTGCATTTTCTTTCATTTGTTTGTGTTGGTTTTTTTTTTTCCTTTTCCCCTGCTTTAGGCTTTGTATTTTCATTGTTTTAACAATGATATTCCTCCCTCCCCTCCGATTATATCCCACTTTGATCAACCCATTTATAGACAAATGAGAGAAAATACCTCAAAAAAAGTTTCAGTTAAACTTCTAGAAGTAAACATTTAAAATGTGTTTCAAATAAAAAATATCATGTTTCAGAGAGTAACTTAAAGGGACAGCCAACTTGAGCTCGGCACGGCTCAACTCCCATGTCACAACTCGCAGGTTTCCCCCCACTTTGTTTCAGCTCTTCTGGCAGATTTCCCACAGCCAGAGCTGTCTTTCACTTTTGCCCCCGTTGGTTCATTAAGACAAACCGAAAGATGGGGGAAATCTTTCAATCAGGAAACCACTGAAGTGAAGCTGCCAGAGCACTTGAGCTCAAAGCCCACAATTTCTCTGGAGGCCAAGTTGGTGTTCCTTTAAGTTCATGATGCCCACATGTCAGAAGCAAACAGAACTGTCTTTTCAACTATTTTTTGCCCATACCTCTCCAAACAATAATCTTAACTCTACCCAATCTACTCAGTATATATTACGAGGCATTTACCTCCAAAATTAATGGTGCTTGGGCGTCTCAGACTCATTGGACAAGTTTCATGCAAAAGCCTTCAAAAATAATTCTTCCAGAGCGCCCACCTCAGCGATTATATTACACCTACTGTGTGAGGCCGAAGCCCGGACATAGAAGAAGGGTCATATCCTGCTGTACAAAACAAAGCGTTAAAGATAAGAGGTAAGAAACGTCATAAGGGCAATCTGACATTTATAACGTACATTTAATTGTGAAGAACTAATTATAAACCACGCATACGGTACCTGTACCGACACGGAGCTACCGCGGGGCGCACTCAGCAAGGTGAGGAGTGCCGCAGACGTTTGAGTGGGCCTGGGCTTTAACCCCATTTTCTAGGTGATGTTACCTGCAGAACAGTTCGGCACTCAGAGTTCAGTTAAGTTACCCAAGTCGGAAATCCAGCAGGACGCTGTGACGCACCTTCTCACACCACACCTTCAGACTTCAGCGCCTAGGGCCTCTGCTTACAGAGAACCTGAGCGCCCAGTCCCAGCAGCACAGCCGCAATACAACGCGCTGACACCAGCACTCGCACGGCTCATTACTGCTAGGGGGCTCCCATGCCAATACAGTCCCGCCTTACATTACAAGTCTGTGGGAAACCAAGCAGGTGATGTGGCTGCCGCTCCGACCCCAGCGAGACAACTTCCCCTGGGAAGGATTCAGACAAAAGTTTTAGTTCTATGGGGGCTGGCAGGAGGATGTGCAACAGCCTAAATGTTAAGCTTCTCTGGGAAGACCTGACATCTCTTCAGCTCACACCTACAGGGCCTGACAATTCCAAGGGAGCTGAGCAGGGACGAGTGGCAGTCAGGACGCAGGGCAGGGAATGGTAAGCAAACCAAAAATACAGGCGCAGATAGACCAGGGAGAGGGGAGAAGTTGGGAGAACTGAAAGCTACCAAAAACTTCCACGAGAAGGTAAAGGCTGCAGCTGAATAGCCCTCCTCCTGCACCCAATGGCACGGCTGCCACTGGCTCACAATCAGCATTTCACTTCTTTTTTTCCCTGTGGGACTCTTCTTATCTTAGCATTTCTGGCCTACTTTTCAGAGGAGCTGTGCACCTGCATCTCCGGTGAAGGTAATGAGATTTACAGTTTAACAGCACATCTGAAATGGCAGACAACTAAGGGCTCATTTTCAAGTCTGCTATAATCTAGGATGGAGGCTGCTCTGTAACAGCACAGGATTTGCTCTCAAACCTACAATTAAAACACAGAGCACCTCCACATCCCTGCCAGTTCAACCACCTATAGCACTGTAGGTGCTCTGGAAACACGATGGTTTCCAGAGAATATCTGTCTCAACACCTCTCAACTTCAACTAGACAACACAGTGTGCGCATGCTGTGCTGGACTACCCAGTGTGTCAGCAAGCACATGCCTCCAACTCCTCTAATTCATGCCTGTATCCAAAACAGGACTGGGCACATTAGAAAGATGGAAAGTTTACAGAAAGCCCAAATCAAATAAATCCTCTGTAAAAATCTAACGTGGTGTTTTAAAACAGTGATAACTGAAACTGAAGGAAGTTTGTAAGCGTGTTTCAGTACCTAGCCAATGCACTGTACGACTTCAGGACACAAAAACCCTGACACCCCCTCACAGTCAACATCCCTTGGTCAAGACTTCCAAAAGATTTTAAAACCACTTCAGAAATTCAGCGTCAAAGAAAAAGGACAGTTTGCACCACATCTCTGGAAATCAGTTTTTAAAATGGAAGAATGTTAACCCTATACAAATGTTCCTTCAGGACAGAAAAGAAGTCCATCTAAAATGAAGTACTAAAAACCCAACCACACTTCAGTTGCTTTGGAAGAAAGTCTCTGGCTAATAACATGAACGTTCTGTTTCTGTGATTACATGCCATCTTCAGCAAGAGTTTACAGAGCTGCTTTCTCTCTTTTCTTTTTCAGTTTATTGTAAGCATCAGTCACCAACCTGAAGACAGACAACTCCAACCTCCCATCACAGAGGAAAAACTTCTGTGGAGGGCTGCTGCACTGGGACACTCAGGGAGGCTGAGCTCTCTCCGTTCATCTTCTTTTTTTTTAAAGGTTAAAAAAATATCTCCTGCAGTCTTGCAGACAGAGATCCTCTTAAGTCATTCACACACTTCTCATTCTTGCTTGATTTCTGGAATTTTCCACTGGTGCCAGAAGCTCCATCTGGTGGGTGTGTACTCTAACTGCATAACTAAAAGGGAATTAACTATTTCCTTAGCAATTTCTGCACAGCAGTGTAAGTTTGTACATTGTGCAATTTCTCTGCTGCAGTGTAAAATACAAGACAAATTCTGGCTGCTCCAAGAACCATGACCCCTTTTTTCTTCATGAACAACTTGTTACCTTGCACTCTACTGAGAACTTCTGCTTGGTTTTCTTATTTTGATAACACAGGTTGATGGTTTTTAAAAATAAGCGTTAGCCAACTCAGAATACTTTCTGAAGAAAAAGATTTTGAAAACACAGACAAGAAAAGCAATTCTGATAATCTCTACTGCATTCTCAAAAGCAGCTTTAAATTGCATCCATTCTCTAGGGCAGGCTATACTTCAGTGTATAGGTAATTTTTAATTAGAGGCACCAGCAGCTCAAGAAGTAGGCTTCCCCACCTACTGCCATCTTTAATAATATCTTTCGTTGTTGTTCACATATAAACATTTATATGCATCCATATATGTGTAATGGAATCAATATGTAATACACATGCTCAGTACAACAGCCTTGTTAGTTTAGGGCTATTATAGATTTGTTTGAAAGGCACAAAAGCCTGCCTACCTTACAGCAATTTGAAATTGAGACTGGAGGTCAGTGAAGCATGAAGGATATTATTTGCCTACACCATGATATCCACACTTCAGCGTGCAGGAAAAAAAGGCCACATGAATATGCTTTACCAGTTCAAAACATCATCTTTGACTGTAGCTAAGCACTAACAATCCCGTATCGAAAATTTTGGAAACAGAAGCATGTTTCATTTAGATTTTCAATCTAAAGCTCAAAAAAAAAAAGTAAAACGTTCAAAAATAAAGCATGCAATCGACATACACATCATTTATGACTAGATTACACCGACTGTAGAACTACAATCAGAAATTACAAATGCTAGTCTTCTCTATCATGCTTTGCTGACACCACCGCCGTGTCAGCACAGGGCTCGTGCAGCAGCCACAGCACAGAACTGATTCAGTGGCAGCAGTCTTCAGCCAGAGCGCTTCCTCCTCCACACTGCTGCTGCTTACACAAGTGAAGCGGTAGGAAGCACGGCTTACACCACCCCTTGCAGAGGCAGCACACAGTTATATTTAAACCACTGCTGAAACTGCATCCCTTACAGTGCCCTACTGCAGAATGCATTGCTTGCATGCTGGTGGAAGTGGTAGAACAACAAAACACAAGAGAGCATACAAACACTTTCCCAAGCTCATCTAAAACCCTGCCAAAACATGTTTTCTCAGACAGCGGATAGATTAGATACTGAAAGGATCTCACCAACTGTCTAGCATGAAAGCATTTAACATGTAAAAATAGACTGTGAAGTATGCTGATGCTAATTGTTCTTCCTTTGCCTTGCCACTTCACACACTATGCACAAATGCTGGCATTACACAATGGGGTAAAGTCTGTGAACAACAGCTTAAAATCAATCTTACCACTCCACGTTTCTTACCTCGTTCCCTTTCTGTCTAAGCATAGCTCCCAAGTGCTCCACTCCCTGACTACATTCCAGCGTTAATCCACCTCTGCTACTGCTGTCTTCCGTCTGACTCGGGAACCTTCGATATTCATAGCAGCAGCAATGAGGAAACAAAACAAAACAGAAGGTCAGAAACACAATGAACTTTTTTAGGGAGAAAAAAGAAAAAGCATTTTAAGACAAATATTTTGCCTACTTTGATTTCAAGAGATTTTTGCCCCCATACTGTTGCTGCTATGAATCTGCATCACTAACAATTCCTTTGGCCCAGATGCACCACAAGCAGAGAACTATGAGATCCAGAGGCACATCAGCAATCAATACACAGGAGAGAAAAAAAGGGTGAAGGAAAGAATGGCTGAGATGTGAAGGAGGGAAAAGGAGCTGGAGGCAGGGAAGGATCAGCAGCCGCTGACGCCAGGCCAGAGAGCATGCCAACCTACACAGACAGGACAGGGGAGGTAATGAAAGTCACTTTGGTGGACAGGCTGTTTGCAGTTACTCAAATTCTGTTTCTTGCAAATTAACATGCTTCTTGAAAAATGCATTTTAAATCAAACATTTTGCCACCTGATCTGGTCAACTAAGAGCCTGCAGGTGTGATTATTCACAGAGACAATCACAGCGCTGTAGGACCCAACCACAAGAACCAGTTTTTGGTCAGCCATCTTTAATGCCATCTTTAAAACAAACGAACAAGAAAACCCAACCCCAAGGATATAAAGAGCAGTAAGCACAAAGTGATTCACTACAGAAAGCATGGAACTCATTCCACTCTTATTTAAAGCCATCAACTCTCGTAACACGTTCAAAAGCACTCCTCTGTTATTTTGCAGTAAGAATGAGATGCTCATTTTGAAACCCATTTTGTCTTTCAACATCAGTTCTGAAGAATATGTATTTTCTCTTTGCAGACACACAGCCCTCGGGTAGGTAAGTAAGAGCCATGCCCTCCCGGAAACTATTCACATCTAGAACACGAGTCCTGGTTCTTGTACCAGATCCTGAAAAAGCCTCAAATGAGCAGGCCAACCTGACTACCAAAGCAAGGGCATTTTTTCCCCAAAACACATCATGTCAATGAAAACAAACCTTCCACATACGCACAAAAAACCTCCTGTATATACATATACACACACATATATATTTAAATTACATTAACATAATTAGGATTTTTTTTTTTTTTTTTTTTTGCTTCTAATGCATACAGATGTTTATATTGCCTTATCAGACCAATGCTGTCTATTCTCACCTCCATAGCTCATGCTCCCTTATACCGTTAAGAAGTGTACCAACATATTTATGTGAGCAGGACTGCCTCCATGTCAAGGATTGTAATGTGAAATTATGCTAACAAAATTCTATCTGGTATGAAGAAATGAAGAAGAGCCTATCTT